TATAAAGTAACGCTCTCTTGCGCGCCGAGGCCTTGAGGTACTCGTCATAGAATTCCGCGGTCATTGGGCACCAAACTTCAGCGCACTGCACTTTGGCAATGTGTCCCTGTTCGGACAGCTCCATCCAGTTGGCCTCGTACAGCTTGGGTCCGATGAGGAAGTTCAAATCCGAAATCTTGTCATCCTCACGAAGAAGTGTGGCAGTAAGTCCTAGTTTGGAATGCGTCTTGATAGACGACGTGACCTTGCGGAAGATATTAGCAGGCACAACGTGAACCTCGTCGAGAAGCATTAGACCCCATTCTCGGGTCTGAAGGAAATCCATCATCTTCTTCGCCTCGTGAGACCTCTCTCTAGTTTGCGTCACCATGGAGTAAGTAGTAACGATGATACCCGTGTTACCAGGGAAAATCGCGCCCTTGTTGTCGGATGTAAAGGCTTGAATATCCTCCGGCTTGATATTTGACCACTTGAGGAACTCGTTTCGCCATTGCACAACCGACATGGAGCTAGTGCAGAGGACAATGACACCCTTCTTCACAGTGCAAGCTGCCGTAATTCCGACAAGCGTTTTTCCAGCACCGCATGGAAGGACGATCAAACCACTCTTTGCTCGGCCGTTTCCAAACATCTTGGACAGACTCTTTTCTTGGTACGGTCGAATCAGCGTACCAGGTCTCAAGTCAATCTCCAGATTCGGGTTGGCTTCATCTCTGCGGAAGTCGTATTCCTCCAGCACCGGGTATTCCAGTTCAAGACATCGCTTCTGTACCGTCTCTACCGCATCGTCCGAGATTTCGAAAGCATGGGTAATTTCCTGGTCATCGTCGTCGTCGTCGTTCAACGCTGCGTAGACTTCGCTATCCTGAGCTTGAGCTTCGCCCTCGCGACCCTTGGCCTTCTGCTCCTCGGCCTGCCGTACACCTGCGGCGTTGGCGGTGCCTGGAATTACCAGGGGCCCCTGCTTAGGAGCAGCCGTTGTTGTGATCTCTTCGTTTCCGTGAACTCGCAGAGGTCCAATGACTGGATCCTTCAGAAGCTTCTGCAGAATCACCGGATCGGTACTCTCGACAAAGTATTTAGTGTTCTTCAGCACCAACTTGACTTTGCCGAAACTTTGTGTGCAGCCTTCGATAAACTTGCGAATGCTTTCCGGTAAAGGCATCTTCAAGAAGCGGTCCAGGGTGTTGATGATGTCGCCAGGAGACAAGCCAACCGACACGGCAGCGTACAAACTGTGTGTCGTGAGGGCATATTCGTGTATGAAGGACGGTCGCGAAATCGGTTCGGCGATGGTGATTAAGAAGTCCTGCGCCTGCTCGGCAAGCGGGTTGAAGCTCTCCAAGAAGATGCGCCCCTTTGCTGGGTCGATGTAGAGTGGGCGGTTCGTGGAGTCGGGCTTCATCTGGAGCCACGAGAAGTCGCGCTTCTTCTTGAACAGCGCCGACATGGACTCTTGTCCATTTGCTTTTGGTCTGTCGAGGTAGGCGTCGACGGAGAACTTGTCGACGTTCTTCTCGAGGTTCTCATCTTCGGATTCGCTGATGGGATCTACCACGGAGGATTCATTATCACTAGCGACGCTCCTGTTGGGGGTAGCGCCCCCTGGCGTGGACACCGCCGAGCCCTTTCCTGCCTTGAGGCTGCCGGTGACGGCTCCTTGAGCCTTCCTCTTCGGCGGCATCGTGGCGGATTAATGTCGTGGGATATCGGGCGTCGCAAAGATGCACAGAAAGGATGTGAAGAGAGGATGTGCAGAGGCGAATGATGTAGCCTGCAAATGGGTCCTATGTTAAAGTACCAGATAGGTAAGCAGCAACACCCGGACAGGCCCAGGCAGACAAGGCAGGCAGGCAAGGCAAGTTATTGGATGGGCTCCTGCAGTCCAGCTTTGGCGTGCCCCACCTGCCAGGGTCCCAGGTGAAAGCACTCAGTGACAGACAGTCGGTTACCTAGGTGCCTGTACCTTTCTCGTAGGTAGCTAGTAGATGCCTTCGATCGAATTTTCGTTCCGAAACTATGAGATGATGTGTACTTGACATACCATGTTTCTATGGTCAAGTACTGGCAGAGAAAAACGGGGTGATGTGCCGGTGCCAGCACTGCAGAAACGAGTGCCATACACAAGCAAGAACTTTGATCGGGAAATGAATACTTGAGAATAAAATATTGAGTCTCTTTGTAAGCGTTGGAAGACTTCTTGAGCAATGGTCATATTTTCTGGAATTACGCATTCATTGGCAAAAACAGTGCCGTCGTTCTGTTTCATCCCCCACCAAGTCGACGGGGTGTGCAGCGGGAAGACTCAGGCACTGGAGGCGACAAGCCAGGACCCCGCCAAATTTATCAGCAGCCCAAATCTTTGGTGGAACCTTCTTCACTTCCAGACCACCACCAAAAGTTGCATATCCCCCGAAATCGCTGGCCAGATTGTACAAGACACATGAAAAACCTTGAACTACGGGACATACAATCGTTCGACTTGAATCGCGGTTAACGCAGAAGAACAACATACACCATGTGGTACGCTCCATCGAGCCTTCGCCCCCTGACCGCCAGCTAATAGCTCGTGACAGTAAACACGTCCTGAACGCGCAAGTCGCCATCCGCTCACCATGCTGTACGCCGCCGACGAACTCCCCGTGCCTGGAAGGACAGATCTAATCGCTTTTCCCATACAGGCAAGAAATGGTTCGACTGCGCCGAGTGCCACCAGGAGCAGGAGAGGCACCCTCTCATGCAAACCTTCGACATGACCTTCGCCTGCAAGAAGTGCAAGAAGTGCTTCCGCAAGGACGCGCAAGAGTTTGAGGAATCCGACGAATACTGCCCACACTGCGATAACCACTTCGTCATCGACGCTGTCACTCCCAAGGCCGCCATCTCTGTCGAGGGCGAGGACGCCCGTAAGGACAGTCGCATGATCAAGGACGAGCGTGTCCGTCAAGTCGAAGGGAAGTCGATATTCGACCCTACCGACGATGCGGACAAGTTGGGTTGAGTGGGAGGTTAGTTGGGCATTTGTGTGACAGCAGGCGATTTTATGGACACCGTTTTTAGTAGATTCCCCACGGCATGTCTAGAGGTGGTAATACAATGGTATTTGGTTGATACCCTCATCAGTGTCGTCTATCCGCGAACCCAACGCCTTTTCATGCCTTTACTCGTCACCATCACCGGAGCCTCTCGTCAGGATGGCCGCGCTTCCGGTTCCTGGCGTCCGGCCCGTCTTCTTCTTGGCCGCCTCCTCTTGCTTCTCCTGCTCAATGTTCTTGACGTAGTTCTCAATCTCCTCTACCGGGAGCATCTCGATCGTCTTTCCCGGAGCCATCAGAGCAATCTCGATGTTCTTGGCTCCAGTCTGGACAACTTCGAGAAGAGACTTGATAGCCAGGCGGATGGTAGCCTCCCTGTCCATGTCCTCCTTGTAGTTGCGCTCGAGGAATTCGCGAACCGTCTTGCTTGAACGGCCAATGGCGTTGGCTTTCCTGTAAGAGGGTTAGCAAGGTGCTTTCACGCAAGTTCCTAGGCCAAGAACATACCATGCCGAGTAGATGCCAGAAGGCTCAGTCTGGTAAAGGCGGGGAACCTTGCTGCCGCTGTCGAAGCCGACAATCAAGGTGCTGATGCCGAATGGCCGGACACCACCGCTCTGCGTGTACCGTTGCTGAACACCAGCGACGTACTTGGTCATGTACTCGATCGAGGCGGGGTCTTCGACAGTGAGTCTGTGAGACTGAGCCTCTAACCGCGCCTTGTCGACAAGGATGCGGGCATCGGCGTTCAAGCCAGCGAAGGCCAGGCAGACGTGGGTGTCGAGGAGCTGGATCTTGGACGGGGTGATTCGGGTGTCTTGCAGCTTCATGGCTGATCGCTTTTCGCATCCGAGAACGACAACATCGGTGCCCTTGACGCCGACCGCACACGTTCCTATGATAATAGTGAGCTGGAGTTCGCCCTGGGATATGGCGGGCGCGCATTATTACCTCGCTTGACGGCCTCACCGGCATATTCGACCTGGAAGACGTGTCCATCGGGACTGTGCAAGTTAGTTGGCGGGCTTGGGCAGGGTCGGGGGAGAGATGTTGACGGACCTGAAGACTGTTTGCGGCGGGTTAGCTCAACACATTGCACTTAACGGACAGGCAGGGCGACGTACCAGACAATGCTCTATCGTAGCCGGAAGCCATCTTTGCTGAATGACGGCTGGTAGAAAAGGAATTGTTTGATTTTGTTCTGTTCGGCGAGATGTTCGTTACTGCGGGACAATCGCCGTGGATGGAAGGGGTGCGGTCGGTGGAGGATGGATGGAGTACTAGGTGAGGTAAGGTAGGCAGGCTGCAGGTCTGACGAAGCTTCGGTACCTGCTGGCGCTGGCATGGAAGGCTGAGTAGCTCCAGGAGCTCTGTACCGCCGGGGAAAGTCCGGGTAATGGACCTTCCCGCCCACCGCCGTCACGCTCAGCGAGGGGAGCTTCTGGGATCAGGTCTGTATATGGTCCGTGCACAGATGCACCAGATTTCCCCCATCTCAGTATTCACACGCGGGCAGCTTAGTTACCTGCTTGTGAACTGAAGCAGCTCCTCCATGTCAAGTACACTGACGACGGGAGGTTCAAGTCACGACAAGCCATGCACTATTTTCTCCACTTCGAAATGGGCGACGTCAAGAATGTTGCAGCAATCTGACAAATTTTACATTTCTAGGAGGCATTCGGCTGCAGTGGGTGTGTTCTTCGCCGTGTCGTCATGACTCTGGCGTCAGAAGCAGCCTATGATATATTACAAAATAATACTCTCCCACGATGGCGGCCAGTCCATCGCGCAACCACCACGACCGCTGGGTTTTCGATAAAATAATGTTGAAAGCATCCGGTCAACACCACGCAGCCAAATCAAGTCCGTGTATCCCAATACCTCCACCATTTTGTCTACAGCCCGGTAGGAATTTTGGTTGCCAGCGTCAACCTAGCGTCATCGAAAACAAGGAGCCCGCTCCGTTCAAAATCTCGCCAGATCGGCCCACTGCCTGCTTTGGAGTACATTGGCAATGTCTTGTCCCTTCGATGCCAGCCTCAGCTTGAAGCCTTCGCACCACATGATCTCCAGCTCTCCATCCCGCGAGGATGAGTTGAGCTCTCGGTAAAACTCCAAAGCCGTGGCGAGAGGAGCAACGAGCAAGTCGGGCTGTACGGTCGTGTTGAGGGCAAAGTCCAGTGCACGGCACACTCTGGCCGCGAATTCCCGACGCTGCTGATATCTCGCTAGATTGATCTGTAGATGTGGCGGCAGATCCGGGTACATATTCGGAAAATCCTCGATGACTGGCTGAAATATGGCGTGGTGCAGACTCTCGATACACCGATGGAGGAGCAACAGCGTCATCCAGTAGTACAGAAACATGACGGCGGTAATCCCGTCCTTGAAAGCGAAGTTGTCGGCAAAAGGGTTGGCGAAAGGAACTTGTTGCGCATCTTGATCGTCCGATTCCTCGATCCAGTACGCATACGGATGCTCAAGGGTCGGGGAGCGTGCGAACGTATGCCATTCCTCCAGTTGCTGTTCAACCTGCAAGCAACTGCTCAAAAGTTCCTGCGCTTTCAGTCGGCGTTGCAAAGTTGCAGCGAATGGAATGGTGCGGTCGACTCGAGCAAAGATGCCAGGCAGATGGACGATGACGTCGAAAAGTCTGTCAAAGATACTCTTGGGGTGCATCTCCCATGGGATTGTGCACCACTCAAACGAGGATAAGAAGGTCGCTTTCCTATGAAGAAGGGCAAGAATGATCTTGTCCTACAAATTAGCCGCTGGCGGTACGACGGTGCTTCTTGGCTCCTTACAGCATTGCACCTGTACACCCTGACGAAGAAATGGTGATTCGGAAAGTATCTGAATTGTTCCGGCCCGAACTTCTTCACTACATCTTGGTTCTCCTGGGGTACGCCCCAGGGGGTGATGCCATTCGTCACGAGATAAGCTGGGTTTTGCTGCTGCATGTTAGCAGTCTTTTCCTCTGGAGATACTCAGATCCGCTCACCTCGAACAGAAATGCGCATATTCCATCTGGTGGACCCGCGACGTTACCGGCAGGCAAGAGGCTGATCATGTTCTGCGCAGCCAGGTCCGTGTCACCTCCGTTGTCCCAGGTTTCCACGTCGATGGGTAGGTATGGTGGAAAGGCAATGGGAAAACTGAATCGATTGCGGTCCTCCTCGCCTCGCAAGACGTTCTGCAGCCTGGCATGCAGAGTCGCAATCTGCACCGAGTACACGACGCCATTCTCAGACAAGGAAATCAAGTCATCCCACGCGGGTGTTAGCGGCTCTGTTGGTGCAAGGCGAGGCGCCGTTTGCTCGGCAGCTTTTGCTTTCGGAGACTTCTTGGACGAGGATACCTGTCGGGGAGGGTGAGACGAGCAACGGCCGCCGTCGTCGATGGTTGCGGTGATGAATACCATCTCGCGCTCGTACCCAGCGCATTCGCGGCCGCTGTCGATGCATTTCCGACAGTACGGTCGTTCGTTGTCGCACTAAGGCAGTCATCGAGCCGTCAGCTGTTGTCTCTCCCAAGAGGCGCTCTTCAGGGTCTCTAAGGGCTTACCTTTACTCGCCGGGCCCTGCATGTCTCGCACCCCTTATACTTACCACGGACTCCAACCATGGTGACAAATCAAAATCTCAAACTTCAACGTTGGAAGATACGCAATGCCCATAGCTGGCCTAGCCTCTTCAAGACGACGAACGCGGAAAGGCAGGCGCACGAGGCCCGGTATATATCATGCCCCAACACAGCCGCAGCGGGACGTCAAGAGGTCTCCCGTGGTCCAGGATGGCGGAGTGGGAGGTTCTTACGTGGGCGAGTGCCGACGTCTGTGGGACCGTGTTAGGCAAACAATGGTTCGCGGGATAACCTGGTGGATGGTGTGCTGCAGCCCTACCGAGTGTGGATCATGACGGTGTATGGACAGTTGGGAGCAAGGGAACTGAACACCCGGGACAGCTTGGGCGAATTAGATGGCTGCGGCTGCGTATGCAGGCAGGCCGCCCCGAGACGATCAAATATATGCCTCCCTTTGGTTAGAATCGGAGGCAGGGTGCGGGTAGATAGAGCATCACGATTCCCCCGGCCGAGGCACGATGAGCTTCGATTTGCGAGAACATGATGTTCCGGTTCTGATTCCTTGCATGAGACGGCATCGGCGGAGGCTATCAATCTAGTTCTAGTTTCGTTCCTCGATATCGAACCGAGGAGCGCAAATCCGTGGCCAAGACCGGGCCCCTGGATGGGGAAAATGATTGTATCAGATCAGTGTCTTTGAAGAGGGTGCCTACGTATATGCGGCGCGTGGGAATGCGCAAGTGTGGGAATCAAGTCAATCACCCGGTGAAGGATGACAGCATCGACTGGCCAAGCTTGGATCGTTGCAAGTGCGACCCGAGACTTGACAGGCGGGACTAACATCAAAAAGCAAACAAAAAAGTGTAAACCATCTCACCTTGTCCTCCTCGGCTCCTCCTCCTCCCCGGTAACTACGGTGTGCACGTCCCCCCCTAGGAGCTGCCTCCGTAGGGCTGCAGACCGACGACAGGGGGTCGGGCTCGGAGGCCCCACGAGACATACGGGCCCTGGTTCCGGATTGGTCGCTCGGAGTCTGACATGGTGCGGCCGCTGAGAGTGCTGAGGGGAGAGGTTGGCAAGTCGCAGTGCCGCACTCAGTATCCTCAGTAAAGGGGCAAATGAGAGCTGAGCATGTAAGATTTCTGCCAGGGCACTGTCAGCCAGTCGGTGCGGAATGGCCGGCCGGGGGAACGACGTGGGTTCAGGCACCATCCCATCGAGACAAGGGGGGGAAACAAGAGAGACAGAAAAGCACTGCAGCAGCCGAGAGACACACGAGTCCCAATCCTGACACCGCCTGCCAGAACAGCAGGCAGGGACGATCACACCAGACACCAGAGACGCCGGTCTGCGGGTGTGCGGGGCTTCGGGTGTCGGCGACGGCGCGATTGTCATTGGTGTTTCGCCCTCACCTTGGGAGATGCTCGGGGCGGCCGTACCGTAGCCAATGGACGTGCTTACGTCGTTGCCCATCAATACTATGGTATGTGACTACTGTCCTTGGAACGTAGAGTCATCAGTCCCCTTTCCCTTCCCCTTCCCCTCCTCCCCTCTCCCCCAGGGCTGGGAAAAGGGCTGAGACCTGTCCTCGGGACGCCATGGGGCCGCTGCGGTTGAGGCTGGGGGGGACTGTTGAACTGGGGTTGACCGACTGATCGCATCACGTTTTCGTCAACGTCCGATCTTAGACATGTCCGATCCAAGTCAATCCCGTCCCCCGGGCATGGTTCGGCGCTCCGAGGATTGACGGATGATCGTCAGATTGTGATGGATTTGGACATTTTTTCATGGCTGTGTTCTTTTATTCCCCTCACTTCTCTCTGGTGATGATGATGATAAATCTAGTGTGCATTTCGTGTGTGCCGTGTGATATCCTACTAAATCACGCTTGCCGAGGCACTTTCTTCTCCCTCTGTAAGACAAAAATCTCAAAATATGTCCCGATTGGGAGTCATGTCTTCTAAACCACCACGAGAGGGCGCTTTTGAAAGTGCGCAGTCAGTCATGCCCACACACATACACACACGAGCGCCGCGCGCCGGCTCACACACACACCGACCGTAGCCTCGCTCACACGACACACCTGATTTTCTTTTTCTTTTACAAAACCACATTGCCTTCTTTCTTTCCAAAGGGTGGTGGCCATTGGTTGGCTGGGAACCCAGCCGGTGTCACAGGCGTGGGCTCTAACCACGCGTCAACAAACCGTTTCCAGACGTCAGGCCCGAAAGGCTAAGGCAGCCGGACTCGTCTCCGTTCAGGGATGGGGGGTATCGTTTCTTGGCGCCCTCTCAGACGTATTTGTAAGGGTTCATGATGCCGTTCTAATTGGCCCAACGTCAGCATTCCTTTCACACGCCAGGCAGGCAGGGCTGATGGGCAATATTCTCATGCGGGAGGGGAGGCAGTGACAGGCAGCATCGTGTGGGGGGGCAGCACACGGCGGCGGGGGGAGTCATCATCATCAGCAAGTGAGAGTCAGAGTGACAATTGGGGGTCACATTCGCCGTCTTACACGAACGGCACGGAAGGGTAAACGAATCTGCCCCGTCGGGAAGAAGGAAGGAGAAAAGAAAGGAACCGAGAATCCACTTACCGGGTCATAGAGATTCTTGATCTGCTTCATCAGGCCAACCATACTCTCGTTTCGGCTGTAGCCGATGAACGCCTTCTTCGCCACGCCCAAGCCGTGCTCGGCGCTGATGCTGCCGTTGCGCTCCTGGATCCACTCGTAGACGAACGGCTCGAGGACCTTCTCGATGCGCTTGTCGTACCGTCTGACGGCGACGTTGAGGTGCAGGTTCGAGTCGCCCATGTGGCCGTAGCCGACGACGCCGATGGCGGGGAACTCGTCCGTGTCACCAACCAGCCCGGCCGCTTCCATCTTGACCTTGGTGTCCTCGACGAGCTGGTACAGCTCCTTGAGCGGGATCGACACATCGTACTTGTACGTGCCGCCCCAGTGGCCCAGACACTCGGGGATGCCCTCGCGCCAGCTCCAGAGAGCCTTGCTCTGCGTCTCGTCCTGCGCGAGCACGCCGTCCTCGACGATCTCGTTGGTCATGACGTCTTCGAGGAACTTCTCCAGCTTCTCGTAGTCGTGGTCGCCGTTGGAACCGCTCGTCTCGACGAGGCAGTAGAACGGGTGGTCGCCCTCCAGAGGCCGCTTGTTGCCCCTGACGGCGTGGACGAGGTCCTGGCTGCGGGCGTCCATGAGCTCAAAGGCAGACAGGATCTCGCCGAGCTGGCCCTTGGCGGCCTTGAAGGCCTGCTGGGCCTTCTCGTAAGACTCGAGGCCGAAGAAGGCGACATTGACGGCCTGGGAGCGCTGCGGGCAGATGATGGAGACCTTGGTGATGATACCGATGGTGCCCTCGCCGCCGATGAAGAGCTGCTTGAGGTCGTAGCCCGTGTTGTTCTTGCGCAGGGTGCACAGGTCGTCGACGACAGTGCCGTCAGGGAGGACGGCCTCGAGACCGAGCACGTTGCCGTGGAGGCTGCCGTAGCGGAGCAGACGCAGACCGCCGGCATTGGTGGCGACGTTGCCGCCGACGTGGCATGAGCCCTTGGCTCCCAGGTCGAGGGGGAAGATGTAGCCCTTGCTGGCCAGGAACTGGTCGGCGACCTCGAGGATGACGCCGGCGTCGACGACGAGGGTGCCGCTGACGTCGTCAAAGGAGCGGATCTGGTTCATGCGGCTCATGTTGATGACAATCTCGTCAAAGACGGGGACAGAGCCTCCGACGAGGCCAGTGTTACCGCCCTGGGGCACGACGGCGAGCTTGTGCTCGTTGCAGTACTTGAGGATCTTGCTGACCTCTTCTGTTGACGCGGGCTTGAGGACAAGCTGCGACTGGCCGCGGTACTTGCGCAGCCAGTCCTCGTTGAAAGCCGCGAGGTCGTCTGCGGCGTCGGTGGTGACACCATCGACAACGCCAGAGGGGCCCAGGAGGTCTTTGAAGTAGGCGACGTGAGCATCCGTCACCTCGGCAAAGCGCGAATCCCGCTTGAGGTCCGGGTAGGCGGCAGCAGTGAGCTTGACTTCCTTCTTGTCCTGCGCGCATCTCACGGCTGTGGTCGAGAGACACCGGGCGCCAGCGGCCGGGGCCGAGATCTGCCGCATGGCGGGATGCCGGCTGCCGGCGCTCAGCAGCGTTTGCCTCCGGGCAGCGGCCCGGAGGAGGGGCTGAATCCTTGATCTAGAGGCCATTTTGACTTTTGATGTGGCTGTGGGACACAAGGAAAGAAGAGGTGAGGGAAAGGGGCACCGAACAGCCGCGCTCAGGGCTCTCTTGTGTGTCCTGGCTAGGTTTCGAAAGATTGAGGACCCAGCGGGTTGAAGAAATCAAAAAAGTTGCGTGAGGTTCGAGATTTGGGTGACGTTGGTCCCGATTTCGGCTTTAAGCACTAATCCCCTGTAGAGACAGCCAGTAAATAGTGCGGAATTGCCAACCCGATGGCGTCAAAACCCGCTACAGCGCCTGGAGTGCTTCTGAAATCTGCGTGCCATAGACGAAGTGGTTCGGTGCAGCAGTCCCGACAATTTGGCTCGGTGAAAATGTAATTTTCGCCGTCGGCAAAAGTTTTGTTTTCGCCGAGGAGTGGAGGACCAACTGCCTTTCAGCATTCAATTGTCCATCGATCCGACCGGCTGTTTATCGTCTAAATATCTGGCTTTATTCGCAAGTGAATACCCCATTTTTGCGTCTGAAACCCCATTCCTGGATGACGAAATCCGGACCGGTGAGGTTCTCGATCTCGAATTCCCCAAAACGACGTCGTCTTAGTCATCAGCCTTAGGTGCAAGACCTGCGACTCAGCGCAAGCAACCCAAAAGAGGCGCAGCTCATACTTGACACGCCGCAAGAAGATTCACAGTGTGTTTTGCCCGTTGATACAAAAGCTCCTGCATTTCAGGATGTCTTATGTCTGAAGCCGTTTTCAAGATCGCTGCATACGGGCTTGTCCTCTCGGGTGCCCACAGTTAGACAGTGTTAAGCGAAGCCAATTCGAGATTAGCGATGTAAAATGCAACTGAAGTG